CACACACACACACACACACACACACACACACACACACACACACACACACACTGCACACTTCTTCTTCTTCTTTTAATGAACACCCCGGTCTCCAGTGCGAAGGCTGCTGTTCGCTGCCGGTCTTCCAGGCTCCCGTCAAATTGTGGGTATTTCTACCTGTAAGGGTTGGGCCAATATTTCTTTCTTGTGAAAAAAGAAAGTAAATGTGTTAGCATAACGCCCCTATCAACAATTTTAGATTATTTAAGAAGTTGGACCATCGAGTTTAACATCCGACTCTGATAGGACCGAGCCAAATGGGCTGAGAGCCTTGAAAAACTCTACATAACAACCCAAGTTCAAGAACACCCAGTCTGAGATTCAAACCAGGCCCCGGGGCCATCCTCTCCGTAGTCCAACATGATACCAACTGAGCTAACGGAGCGCCCACTTCCTTCTAAGTGCCTCGAGCATTGGGGAGGCTTGCAGCAAATGGACTTAGGCATCTCTCTAGAGGGGTCATCTCTGGCTAAGATGTTGATGTGCAATGACCCTCCAGTGCTCATGGTCCCCAACTGCCGTCATACATTCTGCCATACTCAGGTATAATATCATTATATTAATCCATTCCAGGGATTGACAAGTGTACTTATGCTGCAAAACCTTATTAGAATGAATATCATTTTGCTTGTAGCGTAACGAATCTAAAAAAATGTCCTACTTGGTGCTGGATAAGGAGTATCTAGTCTCTAGGGCTGACAAGACAACGTTGATGACTCCGTTGACGATGAAGCCTTCCCAGAAGTTGAAAACACAGAGCCAGAAGACATACGCCTTCACATTGTTCATACACTGCACAGGCCTGAAGGAAAAAGACCAAAAGGGTTGTTATTAAAGTCAGTTGCGTTTCGTTTATTTCTTAAAGCAAAAACATTTGTAGCTACCTTAAATTGTGACTTTAAAACAAACTGCACTATTCTACTTGCATACAAACATTTGATCCCAACCCTTTTTTTTTTTGTTGCACATAATATGTTGGATGTCTGTATTCCTGTTTGCTCTTTTGTCAGTGTCTCAAGTTCGCTCGTTTAAATTGATATTTCACTTCAACAACCCGGGGCTCTCGTCTCCCTCCCTATTTTCATGATGACATGGTTTCTGGCCTTGCTCTGAACGATTTAAGTGCCAATGTAATGAAATAATTCTTTTGTATGCCTTTTAAGTTCGTGGGTCAAGCAGTAAAATGTTGTTATATGTTAACAGCTCTGCGTACAAGAATCAGAAGACTTAGCCAAGGGAAGAATTACATTTTCAAAAGTGTACGGTTCATCGGTTTTTCAACTTTGTTGGTGACCTTAAGTAAACTTTGTTCCTCTTCTCCTCTAGGCGTACAACTCACCCTAACCCCCTGTCACAATAAAAAGGTAAAGAAAGCAAACATTTATTATACATGTATGCACATGTTTCTGTGTCTGTCCCCATATGTGTTTGTTTGTGTGTGTGTGTGTGTGTGTTTGCGCGCGCGCGCGCGCGCGCGCGCGTGTGTGTGTGTGTGTGTGTGTGTGTGTGTGTGAGAGAGAGAGAGAGAGAGAGAGAGAGAGAGAGAGAGAGAGAGTGTGTGTGTGTGTGTGTGAACATAAAGCATAACCATACAAAAACAGAAAGGGATCCGCCCCTCTAAAAGTCGGCAGAAAAGGAGGGGATGAAGAAAAATAAATAAATACACAA